CAGAAGGATTCGATCACCCATCATTTTGTTTAGTCAATAACATTCCTTCCGACTGTTTGTACCGCTGCACATTCCTTTGAGACGGGTGGGGGAGAGAGAGAGAGAGAAAGAGAGAGGAGAAATCCAGTTTGAGTCGTATCTGGAAGAGTTACGAGCAAATGAATATACATTCCTGATGTTTAAAGAGTGAGCAGATGGAAGATACCAACACAATACTCAGCTCTCGAACATTGAGGTTAGCGAACGAAGTAAATCACAGAGGGACTAGAAGTCGCCACTTAGACTAAACAATTGGCATTTGCACAAACTGGTAAAATTCACGTATCGCGTCGACAGATTTATGAACGAATTTCAGGTCTTGGCGGTTGCAATCGCCCGAGATCTCGGCACACGCCTCCCAGCAATTGCTCCATTCGGCAAATTGCCATTGCGCTGTACTCAGAGGAAATCGTACGTCGCTTTAAGCGCGAACGCCTTCGTAAATCCACGGCTGTTTGTGGGGGGGACGCTGCTGGGCGCGATCGGCTGCCGCGGTTCGCCCACGAAATATACTACACTTTAGTATTTTCCGCCGAGTGCGTTGAGACGTCCCAAAGATGTGACAAGGCGTTGCAGCAAATGGAAGCCTTATTATTATTACTACTATTATTATAATAATCATAAATATAGAGCTCGTTTTAAGATGGAGCTGAAATAGGTTTTCGTTCAGATAGATTCGCGGCTACGACTTTGTATCCGGGGACGCGAGAGTTCAGCGGATGCGTTTTCACTCGGTTAAAACATTCCACATTCATCTGTGAGCGCGTAATGAGTGCATTGTGTTCGATAGCACGTGTTGGGTCCAAGTTGGGTCTGCGTTCTGGTGGGGTGCCGCCGCTCGCTTGGCTTCGAAACGTTCCGCAGCGATGCTTTCGTTTGGAGAGGCGATCTTTCGTCAAACCTCTGCCGGAATTTGGACTTGTATGGGACTGCTCAAATGATTTCGTCGCTCATTGAAGCTGACGCGAGGTTAAGTGGCGACTTGATAGGGGTCTTCAAAATACAACGGTTGCATAGTGCGATGCCACATTTTGCGCTGCGAAGTGCAGTCAATTCACTTGACGGTACGTTCTGTTAGACGTCTCGACGTGATCAGGCGCTATGTCAAATGCAATTATTATAATTATTGTTGAAAGAACCCAAGATATGGACAGCCTTAATCATTTCCTCTGCACTGGAAGTTAACTCGAGGTCTCAAAAATGTCCCATGTTACGACTGCAAAAATGTCCCCAAAGTGGTTAGAGCGAGAAGACCCGGGTTCGATTCCCGGGCAGAGCAAAACCTCGGGCAAATTTCCGCACTCCACACGCCTCTGCTTTACCCGGGAGTAAGTAGGGACCTGGTTGTTCGTTGATTGATGGATCGCTTTCCAGGGGAAATAGTTTGTGTGTCAGCCTGGCTCAGTGGTAGCACTCTCTCTCTCTCTCTCTCTCTCTCTCGCCTCTGAGTCAGAAGGTTTTTGGGGTTCAAGCCTCAAGTCAGGACTTGGAATCGCATAGTCTAAGATGATGCTCCAATGCAGTGCTGGGGGGGGGGGCGGTGGGGTGGGGGTGTGAGTGTGGTGTTGTCGAAGGTGATGTCCTTCGGTTGAGATGCCTGGGTCAGTTGGATGTTAAAGATCCCATTTGAGAAGAGAAGTGACTTTCTCTCTCCCGCGAGTCTGGTCAACGATAACATTTGGTCCAATAACTCCAGGGCTATTTGCGGGACGTCGCCGTGCGCGACTGACTGCCGTACTTTGCCCAACAAAATGCACGGTCACTGCACTTTACAGTACATCCCGCGAAGGGCCTCGAGGCTTCTCAACAACACGATGAGGCTCTGTATCAAATGCAAGAGTTATTATTCGTTATAAAAAAAACTGCTCGGGCGGAAATGAACGGTGCCAAACCCTTTTCAAACGTGACGTTAGAAGTTTTATGCTTCCAGATTTACAGACCCGACAGATTCAGATATGAATGATTCATTCCTCCGTAGCAAAGGCGGCGTCCGGGTAGTTAAAGACCATTCCGTTTTAAATGTGTCGGGAGCAAGAGAAGTGCGTCGCTGTAACGAGGTTTTCTCATCTGGTCTAAAAGAAAAGACCCAAGATTTGTTTCGCCCCGAATTCGTACAGCAGCTCAGCTTCGACAGAAAGTTTTAAGACAAACGTGTTAAAATACGTTAAAACGTAACGTTGAGTTTCACCCACAGAACGCGCAGTCGATTCACTTTACAGTGTATTCTGTGAAGCGCTTTGAGACGACACCTCACTGACTGTCCTGCGCTTACGGGACGTGAAGGGCGCGATGCAAAACGTGACCGTCGTTGTCGATCTGCTTTAAAAAGCCTTGTCGGAAAGCTGTGAAGAGACGTATCGGTGTTGTCGCCAATCTGCGACCCAGACTGGAGCAGAATAGCGTCGGATAAAAAAACATTAAACATACTTCGCAGCTGCACGTTTTGTGAATTACAAAGTAGATGTACCTGGTCTCGTTGGCTCAAAATCTGGCGTCTGGTTTTACTCGTGAGAATCGGTTGAGGTCTGGCTTTACAGTCCGCTTGGCGCAGCGTGGCTCGGTTCGGTTTCCAGGTGAAGATCTGCGGCCGTTGTGAAGACGATTTTAATCCCAACTCGCGCACAAAAAGCACACAGTTCCGGTCGCCCTCCAAGCTGCTCCGATGGCACGTCTCGTCTGCAAATTAGTCCACCAATTCACGCGGTTCGGGCCACAGCAACACAAACGAGAAGCTTTTGGCAAACGTTAAGACATCTCCCTCTCCGGAGTCCTGTAGCTCAGGGGTTAGAGCCCTCTTCGGCCTCGCAAGCGAGAGGACCCGGGTTCGATTCCCGGGCGGGTCAGGTCAGGTCAGGGCGAAACATTGGATAAGTTTCCTTACTTCACGCACACGCGCGCGCGCACACACACGCCTCTGTTCCCCTTTGCAGTATATCCTGTGAAGTACTTCAAGACGTCTCGTAGGCGCGATAAGGCGATATATCAAATGCAAGGACCATTATTATTATCACCTACATGTCTCTGGATCGAGAACATTGCGGGTACGAGAGCAGAACGGCCATAACAGGGTGGACGTAGCCCGTAGCGATCTGAATATGTGGAAGGAAGTGGGGGGCTGGTGGGGTGGGGGGGTGGGGGGGGGGGCAAGCCGGAGGGATAGAGGGAGACAAAAGATCTTTCAAAATCCAGCCGTTATCATTGTTTCCCGACGATAATTCCAGTTCACGTTGGGAACGTGGCCTGCGAGAGGAGGTGAGAGGCCGAAAACAACTGTGACAAACGTCCCCAAAGGCAACGAGACGTCCTGAAACAACTCTCCCGCGACTAGTAAATATATTATCGCCAGAGTATTGTTAATTGCTGAGGGTTTACGCGTACAGCCGCAGAGCAGGACAGGTTTCAAAGCACACCGTCAAAGCACAAAGCTAGATTTATATATATTTATATCTATCTATATATATATATATATTTAGAATCAAGACGGCCTTTTCAAAAAATATTTGTATTTCAAATGGAAAAGCTCGATTGGGCCTCTCCCTCTTTCTATTATTATTATAATAATAATAATCTTTGGACCTTCGGGACATCTCAAAGCGCTTCACAGGAAACTCTGCAAAGTGTAGTGACTGTATATATTTGCGGGTGAAACGCGGCGGGCCAATTGCGCACAGCAGCGTCCCCACAACCGGTCGTGGATTCAAGCCACCAAATTATTAGTGTTTTCTTTCTCTTGAGGGATCAATATCGGGGGTCTGGAGTAAGGAAACTCGCCCGAGGTTACGCCCGAGGTTGGGCGGGAATCGAACCTGGGTCCTCCCTAGCTTGCGAGAGCTCTAACCGCCGAGCTACCGGGAAATCAATCCCCCCCCCCACCCCTCCCTCCCACCCAACCAACTCAGGGATAAACCACAACTTTACCCAACCTAAAAAACTTGATCCAGCAAAAAAAAACAGGTCAATTCTGTCTGATTTGCCCGAGGAAAAGGTGTGGTGCGGCGGTTAAATCCCCTCGATCGCAGCCTTTTGAGCACAAAGAACCGCATAGTAAGAATAATAATCCTTGCGTCTGATTCAACGCCTTCTCAAGCCTTCACAGGATAGGCTGCAAAGTGTAGTGACTGTATATTTTGTGGTCGATAATCGGCTTCATTCTGCCTTTAGTCTCCCACCAGAGGGCGCGAGAGACAATGTATTTTTTCCTTCACATTTGTGCGTCACTCACTCACTCCCTCTCACTCCCTCACGCACTCCCTCACGCACTCCCTCACGCACTCCCTCACGCACTCCCTCACGCACTCACTCCCTCTCTCACTCACTCCCTCTCTCACTCACCAGCCAACTCGTCGCTATAACAATCCTTGCATTTGATATCGCACTTGTATCACATCGTTGGGGTGTCTCAAAGCCCTTCCCAGGAATAGACTGTAAAGCGTAGTGACTGTGTGTTTTGTGGGCAGGCGAAACGCGGCGGCCAGCAGCGTCCCCCCACACCGACGGCCGCGGCTTGAGCGAGCAAATCGGGTTCGGTTTTTGAGCGACAACGCCACCTTTGCGGGCGATTAAACAGAGTGCGGAGTAAGGAAACTCGCCTGAGGCTTCGCCCCCTTGGAAACGTCAAACAGCGGCGGCACGAATTATGGGGACAAGGCACAAAAATGTAAATATAATCAAGTTCTCATTTAATAACAAAATAAGACCTCCCATTTGGATAGGACTGCCATCAGGTTTCCTCAAATATAATACAAAAAATATTACATCTCTTTCCGTTGTACAAATTAAAAATAAGCGAAATCTCAAACCATACGCCAAATGATGGAGTAAGATGCATGCAGATCGTTATTTCCCCCTTCCCCCCTCTCCCCCCGCGCGCCCCCCCACTTCTCCCCCCCCAACCTTCCCCCCCGCCCCCAGAGAGAGAGAGAGAGAGAGAGAGAGAGAAGAAAACATTTAAATAAAAGAGTTAACCTTAAAAAAAAGAAAATGTCGAAAAGGAAGAAAAGTTATTTCGAGATACATTTGCGCTGCATACCTAGAGCTTGAGTTGTGGGATAATGCTTTCAGCTAACATACAGTAAATAAATAAGGGGGTCAGTCCCCATTGTGGTCAAACTGCGAGCTGTCTTGTCACTGATATCCGAGGGCAGATCCCGATGTCAGCCTCTGTCCGTAGAGTGCGTAGGGCGAATAGTAAGGTCCCGCGTTTGGCATAGAGAGGCCATTGAGCCCTGGGGGTGCACCGTGACCCGGCAAATGGCTTTTGCTGTAGGGTTGGTATCTGTTTAGCCCAAGGCTATGCGGGCTCCTCAAGGACAGAGATCCGGGCAAAGCATTAGGACTTCCTGGGGCCCCTTGAGGGAGATGGAGATGGCAGCTTGTGGCGCTGGCCAGGCTGGAGGCAGGGTACCCGGCCAGCAGCTTATCCACCCCGGGAAGCGTAGTGTGCGTGCGGAGGTGGTTGAGCAGTTCTTCGGAGGAGGAAAAGCGCTTATCGCAAGGTCCGGTCGCAGAAACCCAGTTGCATATATGAGGGATGGGGTCGTTTGGGATCATGAAGCCATAGGTGTACAAGGGGTGAGCGCTGGTAGAGAGGGCGGACGAGTGCACTGAATGGAACGGGTGCGATGGGTAGACCAGGGGGTATCCGGACTTTAACGTCGAAGGGTCGTGGATGCAGGAGGAACATGCGTTGCTGCCGAGGTGAGGGCTGTTGTGGTAGGTCAGGCAATAAGGATCCCGACACAGTCCTTGCATGAAAGACGGAGGAGATGCTCCAGTCAGGGGGCTGGTGTTAGCTGGTTTCCCGGTCAAGCCGCAACCCAAAGTGCCCGATAACTGGCTGCCCACCAAGCCAGACTTGGGGTCTATCCCGGTCACAAACTGCGAGGGGTAACCGGCGTAGGCTCCGACGATAGACCCGTGGTACCCCATAGTCGATGGAGGCAGAGGGAACACGGAGTGGCCGGGTTTGTAGGGGGAAACGGGCGCCACATGGCCAGAGCCCAGCCCGGGAGCCTCGCCTTTGCCCCCCCCGGACGGGTTGTCCCTGTGCTGGCCGGTCTCCGAGGCGTTGACCCGGTTGTGGCCGGGGTGGGGAGGGCTCTCCGAGCAGGCCTTGCCCGAATCCAGCTCCTTCTTGTCAGGAACCTCGGCGCCTTTGCCGTCGTTGTGGGTCGGGGAGCTGGAGCTGGAGCTGATGGAGGGAGGAGAGCTCGGACGGGCCGGGAACGGCTGGCAGGTGGCGCTAGGCACACGGAATCCCACTTTATCCGCCCCGCCATTGGAACCGCCCTCCTTCCTGCTCTCTCCCCCTTTGGAGTAAGGCTTGAAGCTGGATTTGTCGTCGACGGGAGAGTCTCCACGCTTCAGGGCAGAGGAACGAATGGATTCCTTCTCGCTTAGCCCGCTGGAGGTCACGGAACTCAGCTTGGAGGACGACTGGGAGTCCGGCTTGCCGATCTGGGAGCAGGTCTGAGCCAACAGAGCCAAAGGGCTCTTCTTGGCATCCAGCTGAAATCCAACAGAAGAACGGAATAAAGTCCTCGCTCATCACGAATATACTCGGTCACTCAATCCATCCATCCATCCATCCACCCGCGCCCGCCCGCAAAAGCACACAGTCACTACGCTCTGCAGTGTGTCCTGCGAAGAGCTTCAAGACGTCTCGAAGACGTGATGAGGCACTGTTTCGAATGCGTGGATTAGGATTATTCTTATTCTTATTAATATTAGGATTGTTTTCAGCCAAAAATAATCCCTCAGACCGTGCAGGGTTAACAGCGATGCCTTGTGACAGTGAAACACCTCCCGCATTTGTAACCGGTTCGGGATCCCACCGGGACCCCCCGAGAGGTCATTTCGAGACCAAATGCCATGAAAGAATCCTTCGAAATGATTCCATCTCCACCTTTTGGGTTCCCCGCTGTGACTTTAAATAGACGCCATGAGCCAACGATTGGGAAATAATAACGACAATAATCATTTGACGTCTTCGAGACCTCTCAAAGCGCTTCGCAGAATATACTGTAGGGTGTAGTGACTGTGTATTTTTGCGGGCCAGAGCCCCATTGTCCCGATTGGAGCCCCGTTGCCTTACTTTTACCTCCACATCTATTTGGTAGTTTAGTTTCCAACGCAATGCTACAGCCCCGTTGCACAGGAGGTGAAGCCACAACATACACAGTCGCTCCACGTCACGGTCTGTTTCGCAAAGAGCTTTGAGACGTCTCGAAGAACAGACGCCCATAAGGCGCAAAGATGATTATTATTGTTAACGTGATCTGAAGGAACTCGGGGGCGAAATAATGTGCAAGAGAAATGCGGCAGGCACACACACACACGCACACACACACACACGCACACACACGCACACAGAAACATACACACACTCATACACTCACACACAGAAACATACACACAGAAACATACACACACACATACACACACACACAGAAACACACACACACAAAGAAACACACACACACTCATACACACAGAAACGCACACACACACACAGAGACACACTCATACACACACACACAGACACACACACACACAAACACGTACACAAACACACGGGACCTAAACTGAATGAATTCCTGTTGAAACACTACTCCCCCCCCATCCCCCCCCCCACACCCCCCGTGTGTTGGTCACAGTATCCGCCAGTGTCGGTGTGTGCGTGTGCCGAGCACATACATAAATAACCCCCCGTCTGTGCTATTTCTGAGAAACAACAACAACAACAACAACAACAAGATTCCATTTACAGAGCGCCTTTCACGTCGGGAAAGCCAAGACTTTGAGGGGCACAAAGTTAACTAAATCCCCTTCCTCCCCCCATCCCCCCCCCACATACTCCCCGCCATCCCCCCCCCACACTCCCCCCCCCCCCCCCCCCAGACCCCCACACAAAACAATAGGCTCTCAGAGAGAGAGAGAGATACAGAGAGAAATGTCACAGCCTTTGGCTCCGAAAAATCAGACAAGTCACTCCGCTTTCACGGCGCAATCCGTGAAGCGCTTTGAGACGTCGCGAAGCCGCGATGATAAGGCGCTGTGTCAAAATGCAGCTGTTGTTGTTGTTGTTGTTGTTGTCACCACCACCAGAAAGTCGATCTATTTTGAAGTCAAAGGCCACTCCATTTCGGGTAGAAATGGCTCTGAGAGACCTCGAAGCCAAACCTTTGGTTTCAGGAGAGTATCGTTAACAAAACAGATCCAACACCGTGTGGACAGATAGAGGGGAGAGGGGTGGGGGGAGGGGGAGAGGGGTGGGGGGAGGGGGAGAGGGGGAGAGGGTGGGGGATAGGGGGTGGGGGAGAGGGTGGGGGGTGGGGGAGAGGGGGAGAGGGAGAGGGGGAGAGGGGTGGGGGAGAGAGGGGGTGGGGGGAGAGGGTGGGGGAAGGGGTGGGGGGGGGAGAGGGGGAGGGGAGAGGGTGGGGGAGAGGGTGGGGGAGAGGGGGAGAGGGTGGGGGAGAGGGGTGGGGGGAGGGGCAGAGGGTGGGGGGGAAGGGGAGAGGGTGGGGGAGAGGGGGAAGGGAGGGGGAGAAGAGAGAGGGGGAGGGGGAGAGAAGGAGAGAGAGAGTGGGGGAGAGGGGTGGGGGAGAGGGGGAGAAGAGAGAGGGGGAGAGGGGTGGGGGAGAGGGGGAGAAGAGAGAGGGGAGGGGGAGAGGGTGAGAGAGGAGAGGGGGAGAGAGAGAGGGGGAGAGGGGGTGAAGGCAGTTATTTTTTTTACCCCCTTTCCTCTGCCCCCCCCCCAACCCCCCACCCCCAACCCCCCCCACCCGAGGCGGGAGGGGAGGGGGGGGGGGGAGGGGGGGGTGGGGAGGGGGGGGGGAGGGGGGGGGGAGACTCACCTCGATGGGGCTGAGGGGGGTGGAGGAGAGGGGCTGCAGGTACTCGGGGTGTATGAGGTGTCCGGTGTGAGCGCTCAGCATCGTGAGGGTCGGAGTGACGGCGCTCGCGGGCGGCGGCGGAGCGGAGCGGCTCTGGTGTTTAGATCCGCAGAGGGTTTGTCTCATGTCACTCCTCTCTCTCTCCCTCTCTCCTCTCCTCCACTCCCTCTCTCCACTCCCTCTCTCCTCTCCTCCACTCCCTCTCTCTCTCCCTCTCCTCTCCTCCTCTCTCCACTCCCTCTCTCCACTCCCTCTCTCCTCTCTTCCACTCCCTCTCTCCTCTCTTCCACTCCCTCTCTCCTCTCTTCCACTCCCTCTCCTCTCCTCCTCTCCCACTCCCTCTCTCCTTTTCTCCACTGCTCCCCACCGCTCCTCTCCCTCTCTCCTCTCCTCTCCTCTCCTCTCTCCCTCTCTCCTCTCCTCCCCTCTCCCTCTCTCCTCCTCCCCACTGCTCTGCTCGATCTTTGACGGCAAAGAGAGAGAGAGAGAGAGAGCGTATGTGTCTGTGTCTCTCTGTGTGTGTGTGTCTGTGTCTCAGTGTCTGTCTCTCTCTCTGTGTCTCTCTGTGTGTGTCTGTGTCTCTGTGTCTCTCTCTGTGTCTCTCTGTCTCAGTGTCTGTGTCTCTCTGTGTCTCAGTGTCTGTCTCTCTGTGTCTGTCTCTGTGTCTCAGTGTCTCTCTCTCTGTGTCTCTCTCTGTGTGTCAGTGTCTGTCTCTCTGTGTCTGAGTGTCTGTGTCTCTCTGTGTCTGAGTGTCTGTGTCTCTCTGTCTCTCAGTGTCTGTCTCTCTGTGTCTCTCTCTGTGTCTGTCTCTGTGTCTCAGTGTCTCTCTCTCTGTGTCTCTCTCTGTGTGTCAGTGTCTGTGTCTCTGTGTCTGAGTGTCTGTGTCTCTCTGTGTCTCGGTGTCTGTGTCTCTGTGTCTGGGTGTCTGTGTCTCTCTGTGTCTCTGTCTGTGTCTGTGTGTGAGTGTCTGTGTGTGGAGTCTCCTCCCCCTGTGGCTGCACAGCTCTCGGCGGCTACAGAGAGTGACACAGAGAGTGACACAGACGCCGCACTGTCTGCGCTCCGACACCGCACATCACTGAGTACTCCGTATACACTTCAAATAGTGCCGTCACCGCCGCACAGCAATAAGGAGCCCCGGAGCCCACCAATAGCGGCTCAGGGCCGGTCCACTGCAACTGGGGGGGGAGGGGGGAGAGAGGGGGGGGGGGGGGGGGGGGGGGGGGGGGGGGGGGGGGGGGGGGGGGGGGGGGGGGGGGGGGGGGATTGGAGTGGGGGGTTGGAGAGTGGGGGGTTGGGGGGGGAGAGAGGGGAGTGGGGGGGGGGAGGGGGGGGGAGGGAGGGGGGGGAGGGGGTAGGGTTGGGAGTGGGGGGGGGGGAGGGGGTGGGGGGGGGAGTGGGGGGGGGGGGGGAGGTGGGGGGGGGTGGGGGGGGGGAGAGTGGGGGGGGGGGGGTGGGATTGGAGTGGGGATTGAGTGGGGGGTTGGAGAGTGGGGGTTGGGGGGGGGGGGGGGGGGGGATTGGGGGGGTTGGGGTGGGGGGTTGGAGGGTTGGGGGTTGTTTGGAGGGGTGGGTGGTGGGGGGGTTGGGGGGTGGGGTGGGGGGTTTGGGGGTGGGGGGGGGTGGTTGGAGGGGGGGGGGGGGGGGGGGGGTGGGGGTTGGAGGGTTGGGGTTTGGGGGTGGGGGGGGGGTGGGGGGATTGGGGGTTGGGGGGGTTGGGGTGGGGGGGGTTGGGGGTGGGGGGGGTGGGGATTGGGGGTGGGGGGGGTGGGTTGGGGGGTGGGGGTTGGGGTGGGGGGGTGGGGTTTGGGGGTAGGGGTGGGGGTGGGGGGGTTGGGGGTGGGGGTTGGGGGGTGGGGGTGGGGGGGTTGGTGGGGGTGGGGATTGGGGGTAGGGGGTGGGGGTGGGGATTGGGGGTAGGGGGTGGGGATTGGGCGGTTGGGGGTGGGGGTGGGGTGGGATTGGGGGTGGGGGTGGGGATTGGGCGGTTGGGGGGTGGGGGTGGGGGTGGGGATTGGGCGGTTGGGGGTAGGGTGCGGGTGGGATTGGGGGTAGGGGGTGGGGGGGGTTGGGGGTGGGGGGGGGTTGGGGGGTTGGGGGGGTGGGGGGGTTGGGCGGTTGGGGGTAGGGGTTGGGGGGGGGGGGGGGGGGGGGTGGGGGTTGGGGGGTGGGGTGGGGGGGGTGGGGGTGGGGGGTGGGGGGGGTGGGGGGGGGTTGGGGGGTGGGGGGGTAGGGGTGGGGTTGGGATTGGGCGGTTGGGGGGTAGGGGTTGGGGGGGGGGTGGGGGGGGGGGGGGGGGGGGGGTGGGGGGGGTTGGGGGGTGGGGGGTGGGGTTGGGGATTGGGCGGTTGTACGTGGAAAGGGTTTGACTGCAAAGTGTCTGTGAATGCGAATGGAACAACTCCACTTCTTAAAGAGACACTGTCCTCTTTTCTTTCTCTCTCTCTGAAGCCCCTCCCCTCCACGAAACACACAGTCACTACACCTCCTTACTCCCTCCGCGTCACTCCTGTGTTTGCCCAGCAGCGAGTAGGAACCTGTTGGTTTGCGGGTCGGTCGGTCAGTCGGAAGGGTTGCTTTTCCAGTGGGGAGGTGGGTGGGGGGGGGGGGGGGGGGGGGGTGGGGGGGGGGGTGGGGGGTGGGGGTGGGGTGTGGGGTGGGGGGTATTAATAACTCCTTCCAAAGAACAGATACGATAATAATAATAATTCGGTCGCTCAACCCACGGCTGTTCGTGTGGGGGACGCTGCTGTGCGCGATCGGCTGCCGGGGTTTCGCCCACAAGACGCACAGTCACTACACTTGGCGGTGTGTCCCTTGAAGCGCTCTGAGACGCCTCCAAGACGCGACGAGGCGCCGGGTCAAACGCCGGGGTTATTATTATCATTATTAGCAGTTTCTACGTTTAAATGTATATTTCGGTGTTGTTTTAACTGAATGAGACTTTGAGACTTAATCCAAATCTCCTCTTTTAAAAGGTATATTAATCGGTTTATTCGGTTTAATCCAAAAGTGTAGATATTTTTTCAAAAATGACCCGTCACTGTATATTTTTAGACGGCAACATTTTAACACCCGGCATCGTCTCGGTGAGACGTCTGAAAGGTGCACTCGCTGCATTATTATAATAATGATTAATAATAATAATAATAATAATAATAATCCTCCCATTTGATATAGTGCCTCATCGCACTGTGGCGACGTCTTCAGGTGCTTCACGGAACGTACCGCAGGGTGAAGTGACTGTGGAATCTCGCGGGCGAAACGCGGCAGCGTAAGAAGGAGCGCATTTAAGCATTTAAACGGAGCTCATTTGCTCAGGAAAGCGATCCGGGGTTCTATTAAACCGCCCACAGTACACACTCCGCACTTGGTTTCTCAGTTGTCTTTTTAAATCCCACCAAAGAATCTGTCGGCGGCCGTCAAAGTCTTCTTAACGGATTCCGACAGTTACTTTGAGGCGACTCCGGTTGGAAGTGTTTCAGGGGAAGCGATGTGTCACACGGGAGTGCGATAAAGAGTTGACGTTTGATATATTTTTCGAAAAAAAACACCCTAAAGCCGACTAAACAAGGGGTTTAAACATAAAGCCGTCAGTCACACTAACTGCGTCCCAATAACATTTTATCTGTGGAGTTGACATGTGTTTCCAATAAACCTCGTCCACGTTTTAACAGCTCTCGTGTAACGTACACAATGCCACGGTTTTAACTTTGCGGTTGCAAGCGATTCGCGGCTATTCTGCGGAGACGGAGCAATTGGACCGCTTGGTGCGTTCACCCGCGAACCCCTTTTTTCTTTCGGACGGCCTCTCCGTCCGATCGGGTGCGCGAGTGCGGCATCTGACGTGCTTCAGTCCGCTGAAGCCGTTCGTTATACCTCCCGGGAACGCTGCGAGGAGTGGAGAGTGCGCTTGTACGTTTGAGAGTAAGAATAAGGACAACAATCCTCGCGCTTGGTGTCGCGCCTCATCACGTCCTCGAGACGGTTCGAAGCGTTTCACGGAATATACTGTAGAGCGAACCGACCGTGTGTTTCAGGTTCATTGAAAGGCAATTTAGATTTAAATACCCCCACATTACAATGAAGGTTTATTGATGACATTCCTGGTGTTCGATATAGCTCCTTATCGCGCCGTCGAGACGTCTCAAAGCGCTTCGCAGGATGTACAATTCGCGCGCGGATTGACTGCGTATTTTACGGGCGAAACGCGGCAGCGAAACACAGAACAGAGCAAAATGTTGGAATCAGTTTTATTGGCATCTGCGTATCTGTGTAAAGTGACTCATTTGACATCCTCGGTCCGACTGAATGATTTACCGCAAGTATTAACGTTCAAGCAAAGCGCGGGGCGAGCTTCCTTACCCCCCCCACACACACTCACACACACACACACACACACACACAGAAACACACACACACAGAGAAACACACACACACACACACAGAAACACACACACACACACACACACACACAGAAAAACACACACACACACACACACAAACACACACACACAGAAAAACACACACACACAGAAACACACACACACACACACACACACAGAAACACACACACACACAGAAAAACACACACACACAGAAACACACACACACACACAGAAAAACACACACACACACACAGAAAAACACACACACAGAAACACACACACACACACGCACACACACACACACAGAAACACACACACAGAAACACACAAACACGTGCACACACACACACACACACACACAGAAACACACACACGTGCACACACACACACACAAATACACACACAGAAATACACACAAACACAAACACACACACACAGAAATACACACACACACAAACACACACGTACACACACACAAACACACACACACAAAAATAATAATAATTTGGTCCCTCAATCCCACGTTAAGCGCCGGCCCTACGCTGCCTCGCTCCCCGCCACGTCCCCCCCACCAAAAAAAAACCGTACGCTTTCCTGACTCGCTCGTCTCGTACACCGCACAGCACCGGCTGTGAATGATGACAACCAGAAGAACAAGGAGAAGAATCCTTGCGCCCCTCTCGCGACTTCGAGACGTCTCAAAGGCGCTCCAGGGAATACACTGTAAAGTGTAGTGACTGTGCATTTTGGGGGGGGGGGGGGCGAAACGCAGTAGCCAATTGCGCACAGC